AGACCCTAAAGGTATCGGGCTCATGTGTATATATATATACACATATATATATAACATATGTATAATATATGTACTTATTATTATCATTATCACTATTATGATTTCTGTTACTAATTATTTTTTTATTTTTTATTATTATGACTATTACTATTTCTGTTGCTGTTGCTATTACTATTACTATTACTATTACTGTTGCTGTTGCTGTTACTTTTGCTCTTGCTATTACTATTACTATTGCTATTACTGCTACTATTACGATTACTAGTACTATGACTATTACTGTTACTATTACTATTACTATTACTATTACTATTACTATTACTATTACTATTACTATTACTATTATTACTACTATTATTATTTTTTATTATATGAATAGATTTAGATAGATAGATAGATCGATCGATGAGAGAAATGGTAACAGTCATGACAGTGACAACTGTCACAATAGCGATACCAGCGCGCATGCTCATACTACTTTTCTTCACCATGATAGTCAATACCCTGTGATGCTGCATAGTGTGGGTTTCGGGTTCAGAGTTGATCCTTCTAGGGACTTGTCGGTTTGTTGTTGGTAACCTGGTATCCTGGGGTGGTCTTATAGGACTAAGGGGCCTTGATTTATTAGTTTCGGGTTCGCGGCCAATTGTGCCAGGGGTTTAAGCCCTGGAGACCTTGAGACTTCAGCCGCGATCCAGAACTTGAGAACCTGAACCGGTTGAGTTTGTTTATTCTTATTACTAGTTTTTCTTTGACGGGTGAACCTGGCTGGAGTTTGGGATTCAGGGAGTTGGGGGGGTGGTTTGGAAAGCTTGGATTCTAAATGTTTTGCTTGTTGACGAGCACAACAGACACCTTGTGCTCTGCATGCCTCCAAGAGGTGTAGCTTGACAGATTGCAGAGTAAGGATTGTCAGATTGTCCTTCGGAGGTGTCTTCATCTATCAAGTGCGAGCCTAGAGCATCGGATGTTGTGGGCTCGATGCGGGTGGGGGCCGTTTGTGGACAGTGACGCCGCACGGCCTCTGGCTTGACTTCTGGCTTTCCGGCAGCCGACAACTGGCCGACATGTCGTGTGTGTTGATTTAGGCGCAGCGGTCGAAAGCGAAGGCAGCTGACAGGAACATCATCAACCTGTAGTTGTCATCTTCGTTTCGGTAGCGGTAGCACTTGCCGCTGCCCTCGATCGAGTCCTGGTGTGCAGGCGCGAAAACGCTTGAAAGCCCAGCAGAAGCAAGGCAACCCGGAAAAAATAATGGCTTTCGCAGTTGCCATTGTTATTGCCATCGGTATTCTTGCTGCCAGTTCATCGTCATCAACATTTATTGATTTATTGCAAATGATGGTTGTGCACATTGCTCGTCGTGGGTGTCCCGTCTTTGAATCTCGTGCCTAAGGCAGGTCCTACGGGGGAGAAGGCCTAGACCTGCCATTAACCCGAAATCCCCTGAGTTTCAGAGCCCTGACGCTTGAGCCCCGATCCGGGAACCGAACAAGCCAGGCCCGTTGCTAAACACTCACTATTGAACACAATTCTGGTCTGGACTCATGAATGATTGATACGGCCACCTCGTACTGGGCTTACGATGGAAGTCCCGTCGCGCCCCTAAACCCTAACCTTTGAAATCCTAAACCCTAAACCCAGTGTATCAAGGATCTACTTTCAGCCCGAATCCCGAAGCCCCGGTCCCCAGCTCCCAAACTTCTAAACCCTGAACCCTAAAACCCTAAAACCCTAAACCCCAAAACCCCTAAACCCCTAAACCTTAAACTCCTAAAACCCTAAACCCTAAACTCCTGAACCCTAAACCCTAAAACGCTAAACCCTAAACCGTCTCTGCCTCCCTCTAAGAGCCGGCCTCGAAGAGCTCCCTCCAAAAGAAGAGCATCCCGGGCGATGCAGATGCAGGCAGAGATTAGGGTTCAGGGTTCTAGGGCTGAAGCTTCGGTGGGAGGCAGGCATGAGGGCATGTGCACTGCAGCTCCTCCTCCAAAAAACAAGGTTTTAGGGTTTGGGGTTTTAGGGCATAGGGCTTTAGGGTTTTAGGGTTTATGTAGGGGGTTTATTTCAGCATTCGGGGCTGTGAGGACTGAGGGTTCACAGGGCTTGCTGGTTTGTGGTTGCTCCGCTCGCTATAAATTCTGGACGGGGTGTAGTCAATGCTGAGGCTGTACTCTTCAGCCGGACGGAAACGTCCCGTGGCCGTCATGACGAAGTGGCAGATGATGCCGATGATGAACTAAGAAGAAGATGATGACAATGGCGACGAGTCGTTCAAAGTTCGAGAAGAGAGAGAGAGAGAGAGAGATATATATATATATATTTATATTTATGTCTGCATTTATATTTAAATTGGTATATCTCAAGGGCAGCCACTTCCCGGATCTAAGCGACAGACGGAAAAAGGTCGTTCAACCGAAAACATAAACCCCTGAATCACCCCCCCCCCCCGGGTCTTATGCAGCAAACCTGCAGAAGGAGGGCACCGGGAAAGGCACAGGAGGCTCAACCTCCGAAGCCCGAGACACACCAGGGGTTTTCCAGGCCCCATGCAGATGCCAAAGCTCCTACTTGTAAACGTCACCCTGAAGGGTTCTGTTGAGGCATTACAGGGTTTTACAATGTTTAACTAGTCAGTTAGTTCGGCACCCCTCAAAACCCAGAGTCCTAAACCCTAAACCCGAAACCTTGCAGATTCTTAAAAGGGACCCTTATAGATCCCGTTTCAAGGAACCGAGCCCTCTCCGAGTTTTCTAGAGTCGCAAAGAGGCCCCAAAGCCGCGCCGAAGCGGCCGAATTCCGTACTGGGTGGCGCTGCCCATCGCCTCAAAGGCTCGAGGCCCGGGGCCCTTTGGGTGTCGTATTCAGAGGATTTAGGGCTCATAGGGTTTAGGGTTTATGAAGGTACTACTGAGGGGGACCTGTTGTGGTAGCTGACATGAGGAGCCTGGGTTCAAAAAAGGGTTCGGAGGGCTCTGTTAATTGTTTTGGGTTAGTTTTGTGCAGGCTTACTTGGGGCCAGCAACGGCTCCGTTTGAGGTTGGTGCAGGAGGCTTTGAGACGGTTATTACGGCTTTTAGTTCAGCATTTGGGCGATAAACTGAGCGGTGTCTGCCTTTCCTGCTTGTTTCTTGACCCCAAGTCTTCAGACACGTTATCGTGATTTCGTTTGGAGGCGTAGATTGTTTCCGTCTGAAACGGCTTCTGCAGCTACATCTTGTAAAACACGCGAACTTCGTGTTTAATTGTCGTGCTGCTACTGTGGCTGTTAGGTGCCAACTTTTTGGGTATCTTTTGGTGCTCCAGTTGTTGATCGAATGAGGGGTGTTTTGATTTTTCGCCGTGATTCACTCGTTCGTGCTATGGTGCTCAAGTGCATGTGTAGATTCGACTGTGTGCACGTAATTATGTAATTTCTGTCTGTCCGTCGGTCCGTCTGTCCGTCTGTCTCTCTGTCTGTATGTCTATATGTCTGTATGTCTGTCTGTCTGTCTGTCTGTCTGTCTGTCTGTCTGTATGTATGTATGTATGTATGTATGTATGTATCTATGTATGTACATATGCAAGTATGGATGCATGGATGTAAGCATGTACACGTGCATATACATATCACGCGAGTACTACGTACTTGTACGGTACGAAAATGTACACGTGCACATGGCTATGTTCTGTCTGGATACATAAATGTAATGGTATGTGTACAACGGCAGAGGGAGAGAGAGATCAGCAAGCAAAACTAGTTCAATTGTTGGACAGTCGGACAATAAACAAAACACGCATAGATGAATAGCAGAAGACTGGGTTAGCGAATGTCCAAATAGTACATAGAAAAATAGGTGAAAGGCAGATATGTTAATGGTCAAGTAAACGAATAAGCCTTTTTTGAAGTTTTGAAATGCCGACAAATCAGCAGTAAATTGAAATATAACATGAACGTATTTAAAACCGTACAGGCATGCCTGGATGCATAGGTAGGTAGGTAAGTAGGTAGGTAGGTAGGTAGGTAGGTAGGTAGGCATGTTTGCCATTTGCGCATGTTTATGCCACAATCTTTTTATCTGCTGGTATCTTTAGGAGACCCACGCCATCATTGTTTATCTCGAAGTTACCTCCGGCACAATAACCCTACGTTTAAGTTGCCAGCTCAGACCGGTGTATCCAAATCCCCCTTCAACTGTCCGAAGTCGGAATCCCGAGCCAGGGTCTCGTAAAAGATCCAGGCTATATGGGGGTTTCCGAAAATTAGGGGTACCTAATTTGGGGGTCCTTATATAATAAGGATCCTACTGTTTAGGGTGCTATATTGGGGTCCCCTATTTTCGGAAACCCCTCTATTTGTTAGGGTATACTTTTGGATGCTATAGGCTTCGGGACTTCGGGGCCTACTGTAGGCTTCTCCTTGAGGTTCCGCTGGCTGAACGAGTCGCTCTACACCATGACGGGCAAGGAAGCGCTGTCCCTCATTCAAAAGCAGTCGCGAGGAGGCGTAGAGTTTAGGATTGATGGCCTTCCTCCTGGCTCCGTCAAAACCCTAAAACCCCAAAAAACCTAAGCAGCTTTGGGTAGATGATTGGGGGATAGTGGGTCTAGGCCAGATGAGATATCAAGGGGGCTTCCTGATCTAAGGTCTCAGACCAGGGCGCAGTTTATTATCGGGCACAGGCAACACCCTAAACCCAAAGCCTTCAAGAAAAGAGGCTAGGCACAAGGCTCGGGCTTGGGATTGCATTGGGGTTTGGAATGGAATTTAAATTTAAACCCTATACTGTAGAGCCCTTTAAGCCTAAACCAATGCGGTTTAGGGTTTAGGGTCCCGTGTTGGAAGCTCCGGAACTGCTGAGGAAGATGTTCACGAATGACCCATCTTTGGCCGAGGCCTACCATGAGGCGGGACGTCTTGAAATCGCAAAGTAGGGTAGCTCTCTAAACTAGGGTCTTTTGTGGGATCCTTTTTATAAGGGTGCCGTACGAAATTGGGGACCAAAAAAGGGGCCCGAATTTAGAGAACGACCCAAGTCGCAGTTGAGGGGGAACTTTCAACCGCAGAGGCCAATCTCATGCATCTAGGCTTACAGAGTTGACCCTATACCGGCGAGGGCTTTCCTTGGTTTGTGTCAAGGTTTAAGCTTTAGCGTTGTTGTGGGTCTTGGACCGGGTTCCTTTACGCATCTCTCTTTGCGAAGCCTTCGACCCGAAACTCATGCATTGGATTGTCTTGGATTGTCCTAGACACACGCCCGGAAAGTCTGTGAACTTCGATGCTTTCTAGTTTTCAACCCCTGAAAGCCCTCAGAACTCCGAGCCTTACCGCAGCAGCCTAACCCTGAGGCAAAAAAAACCCTACCAAACTCTGCCACAGCAACACGAACCCTAAACCCTATCCCTCAAGGCTTCTAAGCTACGCCAAACGCTTTGAGGCAAGAGGCCGCAAGAGCGAACCCCCCACCCAAAATTAAATCCAGCCTCCAAAATTCCATCCGAGGCCCCCCAAGGTTTCTCCAACCGATCACCCAAATCTCGAATGAATCTCCGAGTCTCAAGAAGTTGGTGGTGTTAGGCTTTGGGGGTTAGCGGTTTTAGTCTAGAGTTCAGGGTTGACAGTTTGGTTAGGGTTTAGGGTTTCGATTCTTTCGGGCTTGGGGTAGCGGCTTTAGGACTTTTAGGTGTAGCCTCATGGTTTAGTTGCAGGGCAGCCTTCCTTTGTCAGACCGTCCTGAGACCCCTTTCCTTTCTTGTGTTCCCTCGACGCAAAGGTATACACCCTTCTATTTAGTGTACGTCTAGCAGCTAGCAAAACTTGTCTACACATAAACACATACATACATTAAGTACTTCTGTACATACATGCTCACATGCACTCGCAAACCGCATGCTTTTCAGCCCGGCAAGCCCCAACCGTACCCTAAACCCTAAACCCAAAGTCCTAAGCCCTCGACCAAAATCCTAAACGGTTGTTGCGGACTCGAAACCCTAACCCCTTAACCCCAGAATCGCTAAATATAGGGGCCGTAATATAATTTAATAGTTACCTATATTATTTTGGGGGTTCCTTATAGTATTTATAGTGAAAAAATGATGGCCATTTTGAGTGCAGGGCTTCCGGGCCCAAGCGTCCAAGTGGCCGCGAAACCCGCTGGACGGGGTAATCAGTGCCTGGGCAGAGAAGGGTGTAGGGTTGAAGGGTGGGTTTAGGGGTGTGGGGTTCTTGGGCATTCAAGGACGTTTCGGGTTTACAAATCTATGGGGTTTAGACTAGAAGCTTCGGGGTTCACCTTCAGATTGTTTCCCGGAACTGCCGTGGAGTGTTGTCGAGGAAGCTTTGACAGGTTTTTGTTGCACAGTACGCTGCTTTGTTGATGCTTGCTGGCAGGTCGCTGATGCTCCTTATGTCGCATTTCTGCCTGGACGGCCGTGCATGTACATACAACATGTATGTACAGTCAGCCTACATATACATATATAACACACAGCCACACACACACATACAACGGTTTGTTTAGGCAACATGCACACATTGCATATGTACATGTGAATGTAGGTATGTACACACGTATGTACGTATGTACGTATGTGCATGTGTGTATGTATGTATGTATGTAAGTAAGTAAGTAAGTAAGTAAGTAAGTATGTATGTATGTATGTATGTATGTATGTGTATGTATGCATGTATGCAACTAAGTAAGTATTCATACTTGCGTACTTCGTGCATGTCTGCATGTATGTATGCCTGCATCTCTGTATGGATGCATATGTGTATGTGTGCATGCATGGATGATGCACGCATGATGTATGGATGGTGGGCAAAGGGATGGGACGGAAGAATGGATGGATGGATTTATGTGAGCAGTCTCGCAATGGAGCAGTGTCCAGGGTTGCGGGGGGAATGTTTTCCAGCTTACTGGTGAACGGGGGGAGGGGTATAGAATCTACGTGTATACGGCTAGAGGGTTCCGTGTTGAACCATGGTTGGGTTTACTTTAGTTAGACGCAGTAAGTAGAATGCAAGTCGTGCACGATGACGTACCCTGTAGGTTCTACATGAGCACCGTCATCCCGAACGCCCAGATAGATCAAACAAGATCAAGAAGCAACTCTAAGCGAGGTTTAGGGTTTAGGGCCTCGCACGCCAGCTGATTGGCAGAGTCTGGGTTCAAAAAAGGGCCTCGCACGCAAAAAAAAAGCCTGTCAAGGCTGGCTGAGGAAGGAGGCCAGCCGCGTGATGTCAGGATTGGGGGAGAATCATAAGGGACTCAAAGCGGGCTGCGCACCTCGGTTGCATAAGTTGGCTGCGGTTGTCCCGCACTTGTCGTTTTACCAGGTGTTCGAAGCTGCCTGTGAATAGTCCTGTTTGCGAGGGATTCTAGAATGAGGATATTGCATGCACTGTTTGTTCTCGTGACATGTGTACGAGACATTGTCAGGCCATACTTGCTCCGGCTGCTATGCTATCCATGCTGATCTAGATGGGCACCACGAGAGCGAAACTCCCTCCACTTGTGCCGCAACGACGCCGACCACGACAAGTACTACTGCATGTATCAGCAGTCGTTCCGCTATTGCTGATCTTCGTGCTGCAGTAGGTATCTTCTGTCGTTGCAGCGATGTTGCTGCCATCAGAATCATTTCCTTGCACTACTCATTACATGACTCGTGTTCATGTGGTGTGCATGGGTAGTGCCTGTGACATCCTGTGACTCCCACGAGTTGCACAGCCGGCCGCCAGCATGCAGAGCACGCGGCGATCACGGGCATTGCTGCGATGTGATTACGATAGTTACTATTGGAATATGCTAGTTTCAGCTGCTAGCTAAATTGTCGGCCATTTTCCCCAGGGCAGGCAAACCCAATTCGAGCTCCAAAGCAGGTGCCCAAGGAGGCCGTGATCGGCGCCTCCCGGCTGATATGCGATGCTGATCGATACGTGGCGCCGTTGCTAGCAGCCTACAAGTAAGTAACGAACAATAGGCCCACAGCATCTGCGTTTTAATCAAGCCTCCGGTCTACACAGACGCAGCCCCTAAGACCCAAACACCTAAACCTTAAACCCGAAACTCATCCTCTTAAGATTTGTTTCCTAGGACTTTGGCTGCGGCGACGCGCGGCTCGCACTGGAGCTGAGCAAGCGGAAGGCTGCCATCAGACTCTGGAACTCCTCTTGCGGGGCCCGCCCCAGTGTCTCTGAACTCCTTTTAAACCCCAGCAAAACTGGTTATAGTTCCCTCCACAGCTTCTTAACTTTCTTAAGTATGGGACTCTTTGGCATGCCCTTTTTCGAGGCTCCCCTGAATTGCAGCGTAGGGCTTTGGGTTTACGATTCAGGACTGAACTAACAAGCTTGAAGGGTTTGAGGCTCAGGGTTCCTTTGGGGTCTATCTTGCCAGCAAAACATTTTTGGGACCACAAGAGCGCAGCGCGTGACACAACATCGAAGAGGTGAGGATGCTTCCTATAGAAAAGCTAGCCGGTGGAGTGGTCCCTACTACAGCGTGCAACCCAGGGTTGGGTTGTGACAGCACAGCGAGTTGCGTTTCGGATGGGAGGTTCATTCCTTCGACCTCGTCAAGATCAACGAGAGGTGCTGCCGTTTAATTGTGCGTTGTTCGACAGATTCCGTTTCGTTCAGCTCCGGAGCCAACTGGCTAAGGCCATGCTAAACTAAATCCTTCGAATCGATTGAATGCCTGCGGCAGGGTCACAGCCTGCAACCTTGCCCACGTGCCGCTGCCCAACGCGTCGCTGGACGTGGCCGTGTTTTGCCTGGCGCTGATGGGCACAGATTGGATCAAGTTCGTGGAAGAGGCCATGCAGTCGAGGGGGACCATGAGCCCGGTCAATGAGCTCTCCGATGTTTTGTGCTTTGCCTCAGCCATAAACCGTAGCATTCCAGCCGAAGAACGTATTTCCAGTCCTCTGCGTGCTAGATCCCTACAGTCTAGTATTTTTTCCACGTCGTGGTGGTGGTGGGTGTGGTTGTTGCATTGGCGGCGGTGGTGGTAGCAGCAGTAGCAGCAGTAGCCTCAGGAGTAGTCGTGGTAGTAGGAGCTGTAGCAGTAGCAGCAAGGGAGCCACTTGCAGCGCCTTGAATCCTGAATCCAAGCCCTAAACCCTTAACTCGCTGAGCCCTAAACCATCGTAGCCTCGTCCTAGCCAGGCGGGAGGCAAAAAAAGCTCTACACCCTCTGTTTTACAGACAGAACTCGAAAAGCTTAATTTTTGCGTCGGCAGGCACACCGCTGTTTGAAGCCGGGAGGTCTTCGGCCTCGGATTTCGAGACTGGGTGCCGGGTTTCTGGGATGAGGTGAGGTTTAGGTACCGAATTTTGGGCGTTGGGTTTTTGTGGATTTGGAGCTTTCAATTGTTTAGTTTTGGTTTCAGATTCTTTTAGTTTTGTCTAGGCATTCGGGAATGCTCGCAAGTTTGTGCTGGGCAGTTTGTTTGCTGGATAAACGTGGGTGTGTTTCCAGGTCCCAGGCAAGCTTGCCATCGTGCTCGCTGGGTGCACAGTTTGTTTGTTTGCAGCTCCCTAATCCCTAAACCCTAAACACATAAACCCTAAACCCCTAAATCCTAAACCCTAAACCTTAAACCCCTAAACGCTAAACCCCTAAACCCTAAACCCCTAAACGCTAAACCCCTAAACCCTAAACCCTAAACCGTCGTGCGTACAGTTGAAGCTGGAAAGTCACGTCCGCCATGCAAGCACTCCTGCGTGTAATCTCAAACGCCGCCTAGCACGACAGGTCTCTGCCACATTGTGGAGGTGGAGTCCAGATTCGCCGATGTGCAAGCTGTCGTCAGGAGTGGGGCTGCGAAAGGAGAATGCAGTTCAGCTTCCAAGCCATGTCGGCTACAAGCAATCTCTAAGTCTGTGACGGTGAGATGCCGGCTTTCATTCACGTACGACTTCCCCAAAAACCCTGTACTTGCAAGTCACAGTATTCAGGGTGGAGGAACTTTCAATGCATTCATGTCTGGGCTTGTTAGTTTGGAGGCTTCAGCATGCAACTCTAGGACCGCAGGCAGCTCAGTGGCCATGCGAGACCCCAGCATCGTGCAGGAATCTACGAGAGTAGGCTTCCTTCGTAAGGACTCCTTAATGAACCTTCTCTCTGCATGGCCATGGTGGCAGTCCCCTTTCAGCTTCAGATCTCCCCCAAAACTTTCAAAACTTAAAATCCTAGAACCATAAACCCTAAACCCTAAACCCCAAACCCCCAAAACCCTAAACCTTATAAACCCTAAACCCTTTGCACTCTTCGTGTGTTGTTTTTTGCTTGGGAGGACGATCGAGGCAGTGGGCTTCCAGCGCCTCCTCATGACTCCTGGGAGTGGCTTGGTTGGGTTGTCTTGTGGGTTTGGGGTTCAGGGTCTAGGGTTTAAGGCTTCAGGGACTTAAGACTTAGCAGGGACTTAGGGTTCAGGGTTTAGGGTTTAGGGTTTGGGTTGTCTTGTCACCCCATGCTGACCTTTACGATGATGCTTCTCTTTGTTGCTGCTATAACTACGACTGTAAATGCTGCTGCTGCTGCTACTACTACTACTGCCGCAGCTTGAGCCCTACACCATACCCTATACCCTAAACCCTAAACCCCTAAACCCCAAAAGCCTGAACATGCGGGTCCTCTCACAAGAGCTGTTGATCCCTGAGTGTTAATACTTCAACAGCTACATGCGCTGTTGCTGGCCAATGTGCTTCGTCGTACCAGGAACCTCGCCAAGCTTTGCCCGAGAGTGAGTGCTGAAACCCTAAACCCGACCCATGAGCCGTCAAGAGTCTGGGCTCGAGGCTTCTTCGTGGAGCTGCGCTTCAAGCGCAGCAACAGCCAGGCCCGCCTGATAACAGAGAAGGTTTGAGGTGTAGGGTTTAGGGTTTAGGGTTTTTTTTTTCAGAATTTTAGAATTTCGAGGCTGCAAAACAAAGGTTTGGGATTGCTGGGTTTGGGTCCTTTCCCGTGGTATGCCTCGGCCTCAGTTTGAGGTCAAAAAAAGAGGCTTTGGATTTGGGACCTAGAGTTTAGGATGTTTTGGACCTTGGAAGAAAAGCACTTCGATTTTAGGGATGCTGGTTTTCCGGGCTCTGACTTTTATAGTTTGCAGGTTTGGGCCCAGGGTTTAGGGAGTAAAGTTGTCAGAGCTTGGCTTTTTTGGGAGACTTAATAAAACCCTAAACTCTAAACCCTTGATACGCCATCATCAGGAGCCCTTAGGAATAGTGTTGGCAAGCTGGGGCCCTGGGTTTCTGAGGATGACGAAGGTTTTGGGATCAGCGACGCCGGGGGTCGAAGGGTCCAGCAGTTAGGCGTTTTTTGCGAGGATCTAGGGCCCTATAAGCCCTAAACCCCCTAGAACAAAGGAAGATTATCTTTGGAGTTTCGACCTCAGGGTTTAAGGCTTCTGGTTTCTGCGGCTTTTTGGGGTAAGAAGCAACTTTGGGCAGGAGCCCGCAGCGGGATCTTCACACAAGAAGGTCGGCAAGAAGCGCAAGAAGGATGTGGACGGAGGTGGTTCCGAGATTCGGGGGTTGAGGGGCCTGAAATTCGAAGGTTGACGGTTCAGGATGGCAGAAGCCCTGGCAAGATTCCTTTGACCTGGTTTCTGAGTTTGGTATGCCGGCGTTCTGCCCATGATGCCGGCAATCGCCCCGATTTGGCCGCAAGAGGGTTCTGCTGATGCTCATGATGTCGGCGTTCAGGTCAGGCAATCACACGCATTTGGCCACAAGATGGGCTGCTGATGCGCATGATGTCGGCATTCAGGTCGAGGAGTTGGCAACAAGAAGGGCTGCTGATGCTCTTGATGTCGGCATTCAGTTCGAGGAGTTGGCCACAAGAAGGGCTGCTGATGCTCATGATGTGGGCAATCACACCGATTTGGCCACCAGAGGGGCTGCTGATGCTCATGATGTCGGCGTTCAGTTCAGGCAATCACACCCATTTGGCCACAAGATGGGCTGCTGATGCTCATGATGTCGGCATTCAGGTGGAGGAGTTGGCCAGAAGAAGGGCTGCTGATGCTCATGATGTGGGCCATCACACCGATTTGGGGCTGCTGATGCTCATGATGTCGG